TAGATCTGGTTGCTCTGGGCTTTTTCTGGTGAAGTTTTGGATAATCTCCAAAGATGGAGATCCTACAGGCTCTCTGGGTCCCTATTCCAGGGTTTGACCATCCTCATGGGGGAAAAAGAAATCATACCTAGTGGGAACTTCCATGTTGGAGTTCGTGTCCAGTGCTGCTCTGTGTGCCTCTGTCCTGGGTTAACCTCACCTGGAACTAAGTACCCCAGGGATGTTTGCTCACCACTCCCCTGCTCCAGTGGGATGGGGAGGAGAAGTGGAAAAACGTAAAACCCATGGGGTGACATGGGAGCAGTTTACTAATTGAAATAATAGCAATAATAGTAGTAGTGGAAAGGGAGATAACAAAAAGAAAAAGAGGAATAAACCCCAAGAAAAACAAGTGCCTTCCTAAAGGCTGAAAAAAACCCAATGCTCTTGATACTTTACGTTAATGTTACATTCTCCTTTCCCTGCCACTGTCCTGGTGGGCACTGCTGAATTCCTGCTGTTATGTCAGTGTTGGTCTTGTGCAGGAGAAAATGCAAGAATTGGTAAGGTAACAGTAGTAAGAGTAACAATTGTACTGAGATTTGTGATAATCCCTACCAGTAGAAGTTACTTTAGTGTTTTGGGTGGACTGTTAGGAATGAGGCAGCTAATCAATGGAGAAGAATTGCAAAATTTTAGCATAAAATAAAAAGATTAAATTTTTTAACTCCTTTGTGGAGAAGAGCAGTTACTGGTTTGCTGCAGGTGAAAACACAGGAAGTATGGAGTCTGTAACAAAAAAAAAAATTCAAATTGCAGATAATATCACATATTTCTTTCCCAGTATTTATTTTATTAGTTTCATTTCTATATTGAAAATACATGAAGAATATTTAAGAACTTAAAAGAGTAGAAGATTGGAATGAATATTGGTGTCCAGCAGTTTAAAATTGACCCATGTGAAAAAATAGACTCAAAAAAGGATCATAATTTAGTTTTCTTAAGTTCTGTTTAATGAAAATTTTTCATGTAATGAAAATTTTAAAGTATTAAAATGGGGCTTTTAATCATATCTCTACAAGGTGATGACTATCTGTCCTACGGTGGAAGGGATTTCCAAATACTTGAAGTTATTTTTATACATGAGAACATAATTACTGACTGTAATTTTTAAGTTTCATCAGAACAAGGATGGTGAAGACCATTGAACTATTTGTAATTCTTAGCCAATATTATGTGAGAGATTATTATGTTCATTGTAGTTAAAAGACAGCTGTAGAAAGAATATTTTCCTATGGCTGAACATTAAAATTTTGCCTTAACTAAATGCTTGTGAAACAAAACGCTCTGAAACTTTTCTCAGGTGAGCATCAGGCTGACTTATTCCTCCAGTGTTAGTTAACAGGACAAAGCTCTTTATGATCTATTGCTCTGTCCTTTACTTTGTTGGAAGATATTTGTATGGTTTAAGAAATAAACAAATACAGATATAGGACATATTTTCTATGGTATAACTTCTGATCCTCTGTAATATCAGGGTGACTGTTGAGCAGAACAGTCTAGCAAAGGAGCGAGTGTCACGTAGCAGTTAGTGCAGTAAAATAGTTGTGAGGCTTCCCATACTAAGCATACCTTGAGAAAACTTTTTTTTTCCCCTTTTCTTACTTTTCTGGGTTAAAATGTGCTTTGATGCTCTCTGTGCTATTATCTCCATGCTTGAGGAGGGCATGCATGAGAAGAGGGAGCTATTTCCTGCTGCCTTAAAGGGAATTATGACAGTTCCATCATCCTGGCTGCACAGGGGGTTATTAACACGATTGTTCTTGTGTGCTTCAGTGTTCTGATCAGCCTCAGGACTGATCTGCAGGAATCCTTAAGTCACACCTGACTGTCAGCCTCCATCTGCTACTTCAACATGGCAGGAACTGTTCCAAGAGAGCAAACAGTTGTAATCTGCTGCCTCCTTTAGATGAAAGATGGGTAAAAGCTTCCAGAACTCAAAGGGTTTGATGCTGCAAGCATTTATCCCATCTATATGACCAGCTGGCTGTGTATGCACTACTTCTAAATATGGCCTGCTTTCTCTACACTTGGTTATACTCTTTTTACTTCATGCAGAAATTGGCACAGTTTTCCCTCACCCCCTTTCTTCTTTTTTTCCTGGTGTTGCTTGTGTTTCAGAATAGTGCATGGGAGAGCTGTTCCAGAGAGAGTCTAAATTCCCAAGACCAACAAGTCAGGTCTGAGTCCATTTTAGGCTGGAAAGGAGGATTCAGTATAAAATCAAGTCAGTTTGGCATGCAGGTCATCCAGAACTGTCAGTCATCATTTTCAAAAATTATAGAAAGTGGAAACATATTGCCATCCTAAACATGCAAGCAATTCTCAAAGATAATAAACTAAAAACTTAAATATTTTTCTTTTGGTAAAATTGCTTGAGCCAGAAAACAATAGTGTGATGGAGGAAACTGATTAAAAAACCACAAAACAAAACCACAAAAAACCAAAACCAAAAGGTCTCAGAAATACACTTGAAATCACAAGAGGAAGTATCAAATTAGCAAGGATGTGTTTTGAGTCATATCATTGGACACTATCATTCCTGTTTTGCTGAAATTAGTGATTTACATGGCCGGGTTCTACCTGTCAGAGGGTTGGTTTTTAATGTTGTCTGTAGTTTTACAGCAATAAAAAGCACAAAGTGTCCTGCCTATCAGTGCTCTGCAATCGTCTAAAACAATAAATAGTAAAAAATTACTATTTTACAGTTTTTTACCACAGAATACCTTGCACTGTAACTAGAAACAGTCATTGTTTTGGCTGTTGCCTCAGTATCATCTCCTGGTGCTCTGAAAGGCAAACAAAGCCAAGCGGGACTCACAGTGTCTGTAAGTAAGCCAGGCTGGTCTCTTGCAAAGCTGAGAATCATGTCTGGGTTGAGCGTGGGCTTGCACTGACCTGCCCATCTTGTCTGAAACCTGTGTAGATGGCCAGTTTGCTGAAGCACAGAACTCACATGAGCTCCTAAAGAAACATAACTGGTTCTTTCTGAGGTTATTCAGATATGTTGACTTTGTAGCCACAAATCTGGCTTTGAGGGTCCCTTCACGTCAGCAAGCAGCGTATTGGGACCCATGGCAGGAAGATGTGTGGGATAGTTGAGTCTTGGTAATGCCCAGGGCAGGACGTGCTGTTTCCACACAGTGTCTCAAGGAGTTCCCTCAGAAAACCAAAAACCTGTTTGTCAAAATGAACACTGAATTCACAGTGAAGTTGCCAACAACAGGAAACCAGTGGCACCCAGTAGCCACAGGCACACACAGGGCATGGGCTCGTTATGTGAGAAACGAGGATCAGGGAAGAGCATGCAGACTGCCCTGACAGGTACTGAAGAGGGTACTCTCCTAATCTGTGAATATCTTTTCCTGAAATATGGTGGTTTGTGACATTCCTTGGTGGTTTCAGCATGGTCATGCACATTCAGTCCTGAAACTGGATAATGTCCATGCCAGAGACATGAAGGCTCTGCAAACACCTAACCTTCCTGTTCATCTAACCAGACGTTGGTGGATATTAGGATTGGTTGATTTGTTTGTTTTAAACCCGTTCTTCTGAAAGGATTAAGGAGTAGTTGAGATCTCTGTCCCTCCAATTCTGGTTGCTGGCAGCTCTGTTATCTCCTTGTGGTAGGAGAGAGAGTGAGTATTCCGTTGTGGGATGCTGGTGGGCCCCGGGGGGGCAGGATCTTGATGCTCTTACTAGGAGTCCTGGGATGAAGCTCCACATTCCCCAGCTGTATCTATTGGTCTGGTCAAAGCTCTGATCCTCCAGTGAGAAAGCTGCTTCTTTGTCTTCTGCTGCCCTCCACATCCCTATTCTGTCATATCTTGCTGTCCCCAGCGGTTCCCGATGCCCCAGACCTATGGTGCAATGACAGCAATAGCAGGACCCTGAGGGTGTTTACAGGCAGTGCAGTTACTGATTACTGTATGTGTTCACGTTTTTCCTTTTTTTATTTAAAATTGCAAAGTATCAAACCATAAGCTTTGGTTTAAAAATCACCGTTGCTCAAGTGCTACAGAGACATATAGGGCAAAGCTATTGAGTGATTCTCATCCCCTTCCCTGCTTAGAAACCCCCCCAGGAACCAAGCATTCACCAAAGATGTGCATCAACCTTTGCTCTGTTATCAGTAGTCTGTTTCTAGGGGAACACATGCCTCATACTTCCCCTTCTGATAATCCAGAGAGCAAACCATCACAAATCCATTCCAGGTCAGGGTCTAAAACCACAGCCTCTGCTCCCCCACTGAGGACTAGCTTAGTATTGCTGGGTAGCTGATTTAGTTTGATTTTGCCTGAATAGGTGTAGTGTGCACTTCTAACACCGTGCCAGAACTTGACACAGAATTGCTTATATTATTTCCTTCTGTTGTTATGGAATTGCTTGAATGTTTCAGTGGAATTTTTCCATAGGTATCTTTCTTTTCCAAATGTCTCTGACTATTAAAATCAGGGTTTGTCCACGTTGAAGTGACATTAGATTAGCTGTTTCAGGGTGAGTGGTGCTAACAGGCAGGTGTAGTGGTGGTACAAGTCAGCATTTACTGAGTAAAGCTGAGCTGTGCTGCCAGTGAACCTGTGAGGCCATGTGGTCATGTGTGTTACCCACGCTTCAGTTCAGGGATAGTGGCAGCTGTGGTGTTGTTGCTTACATGTGCTGGTGGTACAAACTGCAGTTTGTCACACTCTCACTTGTGGCCTTTGTCAGTTTGAGGATTTGAGGAACCCTGACACTGATTTCCACTCATGGCCATGTCACAGGCAGCTTTCTTGTTGAATGTCAGTATTCTACTTAGCTATGAGAGTGGGAAGGAGAAACATAATCACTGTGTTCTGCAAGACTCCTTATGTGATACCACTTTATGGTTACCAGACCTGGGTCAGAAACCATTTTTCTAAAAATCATGGTCACAGGGTTGTTGTCTTAGTTCCATTCTGTATGTTTCTGTTTCTTTTCAGGGAAGGATCATGTTTGCAGATTTATTGGCTGTGGAAGAAATGAAAAATTCAATTATGTGGTCATGCAGCTTCAGGTGAGTTCTGCTCTTCACCTCTCCCTTCTGTCCCATAGAGATGGCATCACAGCGAAGGATTTGCAGTGAGAGAATAAGGCCAGACACCGATCTAAAGACTTTGTTGTACACAGAAAAAGGGTGGGGGACAAGGAGAAGGGGTGGTGTTGCTGTCACATCTGTTGGGATGGCTCCAGTTGTCAAGATGCACTAAAATATTTCATAGCTCTGCTATTCTATTTGAGATGGCTTTCTGTCAGCTTTCTGGGAAAAGCACTCCATTCAGAATGCTTCCAGGAGCAATCCAGAGTATTGTGCAGCAGTGACAGCTGTTTGAAATATTTCCTGCTGAGCACTGTGAGGCAGCATTCAAAACCCGTGTCTTGTATCAGAGCGCGGAGTGCAGTGAGAGCCAGTGGTGTCACACGAGCAGCAGTTTCTCTATGAAAGGCTGTGATCTCTGTTTCCCCTGTCTCTCCCAAGATCAGCAGTAGCTTGGCTTTTGCTGTGGAAGTGTTTACTCCTGCTTGAACACTGCTGATATTAAGTCAGTATGGGTGAATACTTGGGTAGCTACCACATGGTGACTCTACTGCTAGACAGTAGAGGAAGTAAAATGGATACCAGCAGACCCAGTACTTCTTTAAAATAAACTTCTAAATTTTTTTGAAGTATAGTTCAAAATATAGTTTTATAGCAAGGCATATAAAACATATAAAACCAGTAAATTCCTGGTGCTTGGGTTTTTCTTTTATGCACCATTGGCATCCCAACTGCTGTTATTGTTAAACAATCCTGGCTATTATTACTGCTGCAGTGTGAGTGTGAATATGCTTCTTGAAAGGGCTAATCTGGAGCTCATGGAAGAACAAGGTTTCTAAGCCCCCACTCCTGTCCTTAACAAGCACGATAAAACAAGCACGATACCTTTGCAAAAAACTTCTCTTCATGGATTCTTTTACTTCCTAACCCATTCTTTTGGTATGTAACTGAGCAAGTAGAGTAGGCAGACCTAAAAATAATTTCATTATTTGCAAATGAAGACGTTGATACATAAAGCATTAGCTAGTTTTGCACTATCACCCTTCAGGCTAAAATTCTTCTTCAGCTTCAAGGCCTGCTGAGACCTGGTTTGTTGTGTGTCCCTCTGACTGCTGTGTACTGCAGTTCTCCCTTTCTTTTCAGTCACTGTGACTGAGGCTCCCACTCTAAACTTTGCAATTCTCTGGACTGCTCTGTTTCTTAGCCAGCCTGATGGTGTTTATTTGGAAAATAATGCTCATCTTCTGTGTTTTCCTGGTAGTTGTTTTGGATATTCACATGCCTTGGGTTGTTTCTAGAGAGGAGATGTCTAAGACCATCTCGCAAAACCAGCTGGGGAAAATTTTAATGTGCAGCTCTGAAAAAATCTGCCTTGCTTTCCATGTTACCATTGATTAAGAGAGCTGGTGTCCAAGGAACAGCTTTACAGTGGACAGAAGGATCTGCTGTCAATTCAATAACCTGAATGTTTCAGGATAGCAATGACAAAACTCTGCTGGCTCTAGTAAACTGTCACAGAAATTTAAGAAGTTAAGCACTAGAGAAGTGACTTACTCTTATTTTGTTCATGTTAAGGATCGAACCTGGGCCAGCTGCTGGGCCTTGGTTGTACCTATTAGCTGATCTGTGTCAGGTGTGGTTGTTCAAGGGTCCAGAGCCCATGGATTAAACCACTTTGAGAGACTAGAGCTTCAAGAGCCAATTGCAGTTGGCACCTTAATGTCTCTAAATAACTTGAAAACTGGAAATGGATGGATGAATAGATGGTGTTTCACTGCTTTGAAGAGCAATGTATGTTTTCTCATCAAATGTTTGGAATATTTTATATATTTTCTGTTGGGAATTTTGTTTGAATTCATCTGTTATCACTAGAACACTGGGATTTTTCTTGCATTTACTCTGTCCTTTTTTCCTTTTTTTTTCTCTTTTGCTGAATTGTCTTCATTTCCATGCATAGCTGGTAGCCTCTTTGTTTTTCCCTAGAAATTTATTTAAGTGGAGGTAAATGAACAATTTCTTTTAATAAGTATAAAGCCACTGGAAAAATCCTCCTCTCCTGATTTTGGGTATGACTTTCTTGATAAGACAACTTTCCCCATTGTGGTGTTGCCACAACAATGCTGGCTTGAGCTTGCACCAGACAGTGCGTGCTAGGGAGTTTCTGATGAAACTGCTTCTGCAAGCTGTAATAGACAGTGGCTTCATGCCTTGCTTATTGAATTTGTACTGCTTTAATCTTTAGAAGGAAGGCTGTTCCTAAATCAGCTTCTGCATAGTCTGAGTTTAACAGTAAGGAAATGCTGGTCTCATACAGTCTGAGGCACTGCTGGTCCATGCCAAGCCTATTTCACAAATAATACTTCAGATGACTTCTCAAGATAACAGTCTGGTATCTACTTATCAGCAAATACATCAATTAAAAGATAAAATGAAGTACTGGAAGATCTTATACAAGAAATAAAGCAGATGTAAGGTGAGCACCTGACTGAGTAGCATGTCTGCTTTTTGGGGTTGCATGTTAGCACTTGAAGCTGTGAAATCCTGTGCTTTCATGGAATGGTTTAAGTGTTTTATTGATTATTTCAGGGCCGAAATCTTGCAGATCTCAGAAGGAGTCAGCCTCGAGGGACTTTCACGCTGAGCACAACGCTGCGATTAGGCAAACAGATTCTAGAATCAATAGAAGCCATTCACTCTGTGGGATTCCTGCATCGTGACATCAAGCCTGTATGTAGTTTTGGAAATTTTCCCTTTGGTTGTATGTCTATCTGTTCTGCTTGAGTCAATAAAGACAGTCCGAACATGGGCAGATCTCAGCAGATACATTTAGGTCTCCTTGCACACTGCCACTGACACATTTGCTGTTTTCTATAAGTACAAAATAGTAATACAGTATTGTGCTTCCTTTAAGTGCATAGCAAACTAGCTTGTATCGGCAGAGACTGCTCCATGGTGGTTGTCAGTCATACTTGTACCAGTCACTATCCCATGATGAAGCAGTTTAGTTCTGAACACTCATTTGGACCAATTATTACTGTTAAAGGAGTTCAGAAAGGAAGATTTGCTCTGTGACCCATCACTTGAATAAGTGCTGTTTCATGCATTTGACATAGCTAAATCATCCTCTTAATCCTTTCTGAGCAGTTGCCAAAAAGTTGGAGCACAGTTTCTGGTGTCAGAGAACACACTCACAGTGTCGGTCATCTGCCTAAGTGAAGGACAGTAATTCCAAGTCTCTTTGTAGAAGCCAATCTTTTCCCTACAGCTCTTCACTACTTGACCTCAACAGTTGTTGCTACACCAAACCCAAGACTGCCTTCCTTCCAGCAGACTCATTTGCTCCTTTTAAAATCAGCTGCTTTTAAATAAATGATCAAATTCAGCTGAAAGTCAGTCACTGATGTGATTGGCCACAAATCCTTTAACAGCCATCCGTTATGGCAGAGAATAGAACTTTAAGATCGAGGTCAAAACCAGGAGCTGCTCCATATGCTTGTTATTGGTTTATTTACTAAGAAGCAAATCCAGTGGTTTTTAGATGCCCGAATGTTCAGATAGATTCAGGCAATGCAATACAGTGGATGGGGATTCTGGGAGTTAGGGCAGAATAATGCATGCTAGCAGCTGAACCTTGAACAGAAGCATTTGTCTACAGTAACTCCATCCTGTTATGCAAGTGATGGAGCTCTCACTGCAGAGCTAGTGGTGTTAAGTGTAGCTCTTTCTCAGAACAGCTGAAATTTAGCAAAGCTAATGTGAATTTTAGTTATTTTGAGACTCCACAGACTCTTATCTGCAAAGTGAACTTCTTGATTCTCTAATCCATGATTTTGAAGATGCATCTTAAAATGAATCTCTTTGACTTGTTTTCATCAGGGGCATGTGGAGCTGTATGACAAAGTTTTGTTAACCAATTGCCAATCTTACCCAAGTTGCTGGCATTAATTTGATTTTTTTTCTTTCCTTCTTTGTCTAGTCCAATTTTGCCATGGGCCGCTTACCTTCAACGTACAGGAAGTGCTACATGTTAGACTTTGGTCTGGCCCGTCAGTATACCAACACCACTGGGGAAGTCCGGCCAGTAAGTAAATTTCAAGGAATTTTTTTCCATTTCTGCAACTGATTAGGCATGGAAAGGTTTTGTGGTTCTATTTGTTTTGTGGTTGTCATGTTTGGTCATTATAGTGGACTGCATTTTCTACAAGGTGAGAAGCAGCAGGTGACTTAGCTGAGTTGAGGGTATAAGTAGGGATGCCTGCTTTTGTCTCAAGAGGGATATGGCTTTTATTTGTTTTCTTTTATTTCCTTTAGGATGATCAGGTTTTCCACAGGTTGCAATACTTACTGAGTAAAATATGAACTGACAAAGGGAGTGAGCCCAGTGCTGGCCATGTAACTTATGTAGCCCCAGGGGACTGGTCTAGTCCAGTTCTCTGTGGTCTGGGGAAACAGGTTGGTGTATTCTTAAATCTTTTTATAAAATAAGTGCTAGAAATTAAAGGCTGACCTGATCTCTGAGGCTGAGCTTACTGTAAGTTGCAACCTGTGTGCTGTCCTCACCCTTGCCTGGTTTTGGTTTGGTATATATTGCCCCTGTCCAGATTTCCTACCAGGAGTATTTCAGTGTGCCTGCTTGGAGTGGAGGTAAGGGCAGGGAGCATAATTTGCACCACGTAACATGGGTGTTATCTTTAGTCCTTTTACCAGCACTGTGTCATCTGATGTCACTCATAAGAATATGTAAAGCTTCAAGACGGTCTAGGTATCTGTCAGAGAATTCCTGGGTTTCAGAACACAGTGCAGGCAGAGAGAGCTCATACAATCTCTCTGTTTATCATCCTAGGCTTATACCTTTTGGTCTGCACACCTTTTCCATCTGCAAGATAATTGTTGTTCTGGGAAATGTTGACAATATGCGAGCTAAATACAGAGGCTCTGTAGTGCAGGGGATGATTGGGAGTGGAAAGAAAGCAAAGGAGCATATTTAGTGTCTTTAGTAGATGAACATATCTGAGGGATTTTTTTTCTATTTTTTTATATGTCTTTTCAGTTGGACCTTGCAAGTGTTTACGTTTTACCTGTAGATGGGAGCAGCTCTAAGGGTTGTGCCTGCATCTTATCCTTAAAAAGACACACATTATGTACTACTGGTCTTCCATGTCAGTGCTGTTTAGTTTGGGGATAACCCTTCTTCATATTGCCCTTTACAAGATGTAGCCCCACTCCTTTCATTTTTCTGCAGTCAGGATTCAAGCCCATTATGTATTAAAACTGGTATTTGGTTTTCTGCAAAATTTCGTAATTGCTTAAGTGAAGCAGCTATGGTTTATGTCTGTATTTCAAGTCCATTGTTGGAACACTGTTCTTTCTTTGCAATTAAAGAAACTAATTTTTCCAGATGTATCTTCTTTTGAATCCTCTATTTTTTTTTCCTCTCTCTCTCTAATTTAAAATTACTTCACTTTTATTTTCCTCCCAGGTCCTGTTTTTGGAAACAGCTCTACATCCAGCTTTGGCATTTTCCAGGGCAAAAGATTCTTTAGCTGTGTCTTGCAACCTGTGTCCTGCTTGGGTTGATGTGGGTGAGGGGGACTTTGCCAGAATGCAGGACTTGGAGAAGGTTGTTTGTAATTCTGGTCAGTTTGGTGGTTGTTGCTTGCTGGCCACAGATGGGTCTCATAGAAGGATGAATGACATATAATCTTTTCCTAAAAAAATACATGCAATCTCCAGAGTGTTGGGGGTGTGCTCTGCTGAAAGGGGTAAAATGTCTCAGTTTGTTTGGGATATAGGAGGATCTTATGGGGTAAAGTCTCATATATCTAATGTGCGTATTCGCCTATGCCACACTTCAGGAGGGGAGGCTTTTTGACAGAAATGATACAATAAAACCCACATAAATACTCACTTCAATGCCATTTAACATTATCAAATAGTCACCAGGCTGTTCAGTCCTTTTGTGTCCCTGCTGCCTGATACCACTGTTAGTCCCACTTATCAGACCAAGACATTTGTCTGCAGAAGCATATTGTGATTGCTGCCCAAGTAATGCAGTGAGGACTAGGAAGGAGATGGAGGTGATTAGGAGGGTATGAAGGCAAGTGAAATGAGAATTTTTGGTGGGGTTTTTGTGTTTGTTTGTTTGGATTTTTTTAATAAGAACTTTATAAATTATATCACCAAAGAGATTATTTTGATCCAGTGAGGCAGATTCTTCTTTCTCTGTTCTCTTTCTGTTCCTTTATCCATGAAAAATACAATTTCCAGAGTTATAACATGATCATTTATAACACGAGCCCAGTTTTTTGGGAATTTAGTCCTGAAATAGGTGAGGGAAGGGGCTCACTTTCTTATTTTCTAGAAGCATGTCTCAACTTTGCTTTCAGTCGTATTCAATTATTAACAAGACATTTTCTACTCAAGTAGGTTCTATGCAGTTTCTTACAGTTTCAGAAGCATTGTCATACTTTATGAATAGTACCATAAAAAGTATTAGCTGTTTTCATAGCCTCAATCTTACTTATCACCTTTTCAGAAAGACACTGAATGACTTTCTAGTAATGCAGATAATGAGCCAGGCCTTTAGAGTGCTGTGCATTTCTTGTTTGAGTTTAGGGATTTTTTTAACTTACGTCTTGCCTTACAATTTTTAGTCACTTTTCTATTTTGAAAATGCCTTTGATTTTGAAAAAGGAAAAAGACAGTGATTCTGTGGAGCAAAAACCTCTAGAAATCTGTGCTGGCACTGGTTTCCTATATTCATTTTAGGTGCAATTATCTGATGCCAGACAGCATTAATTCTTTTTTTTTAAATGTAAAGGCAAAAGGCTGTTTAATAGTCAGATAGCATAGTCTGTCCCTAAAAAAGTCTCATTCTGATTTTCTAGAGATTGATTAAAACTTTCTACTCTGCATGATCTTCATTGAGCATTAGTTTCTCTATGCTCAGCTGTTACCACTCTGGCTTCCCAGGCCTTCTTTTAAGAGCTATCAAAGTAGCTTTTACGTGGACAGCTGTTATTCTACTGATCTTCTGACAAGTTCTGTTGTCCTATTGCATCGTGCACTACAATGGTATGGATTTGTGCGTTTGTACTTATTATTATTATTATTACATAGGACAGCTACTTGACAGCTCAGCGCTTGTGAAGTTATGGGCCACTTGGTGAAATTAAATCCAAGTTTATTCTGAATCTGAATTTATCCTGTGCTTCTAGGGAAACAAAACTGATCTACCTTATGTGGGATGCTAATATTAGCACAAATGCTGCTCCTTGGAGAAAAGCTATTGTCGCACAGATTTGCTTTCATGGGAACGGCCTCAGCCTCTACCACTTGCCCATTGCCAGATGTTGCAAAGTCTCCTGGATAAGTCTGTAGAAACTTACATTTCTCTATAAAGACAGAAGATGGTTGGGGCCAGAAGGTATGTAAGGAAGCATCAGCAACATTTTTCCCCTCTGTTAGCAATCAGGGAAGCTCAGCTGTTCTCAACAGTCTCCTTAGTTGATGTTTTGCTGTGGGTTGTAGAAGTCAGGCTTTGATAGTTCCTCCTTTGGACACACAGAGCAGATGTGCATCACTCATGTGGCCATTTGGTGCCCACTGTGTTCTGGGAGCTGCTTGGGGTCTGGCTGAAGGCTGTTACTTTGGCTGCCATCAGCTTTTCTGGCATTTGGATCAGAGTCAACATGCCGGCTAGCAAAGGGGACTCTGGCTATTATGAAAAATGGGACAGATTGCTAATGCAAAAAAAACCACCCTTAATCTTTCCAGTGGGTTCTGTTTTCAAACACTTGCAAGGACAGATAAATGAAGGAGAAGACAGGCAGCTTGCCAAAACTGCTAGAGGAGACGCTGATTTCTTTACTGTTCCTCCTTTGCCCTCCAAGCCCCATTCTATCCTGTTTAGAAGGTGGCAAATTCTGATTAAGATCTATCATTTGTATTCAGCAGGGTCTGTTTGACCTGAAATTTTCCATTTTTTAAGGGAGCACTGTCAGTGATAAATTCACACAATATTCCTGGTCCATTAAACTTAGTAACATCTTTTGGTGTTCAAGACTTGTATATTTTCTGACAAAAGACAGTAGAAAAATTACTTAGTCACAATAAACAGGGCCATGTCCAGGGCTGTGAGTCTCCTGACGTCGCTTTTCTAGGGAATATGTATTAATTTTGAGCACAACTGTAATGCTTCAATGAGAGGGATTCCAATATGCCTGCTCCCATTCTGCCTGTGGCTTAAATACATGGTGTTTGTGGTATTCTGCTGTCAAATAAGAATGCAGGAACTCCTGTAGGAGAGGAAGTTTTTGAACCTGAGACTTCCAAACTTTGGGTGAGTGATCTAATGCTGGAGAGAGGAATCGCACACAGATTCACAGAACAGATAAAGTTGGAAGAAACCACAGTGGGTCATCTGCTTAGACAGGGTCATCCTAGAGCACATAACATAGGATTGCATCCAGATGGTTCTTGAATATCTCCAATGAGGAAGACTCCACAACCTCTCTGGACAATCTGTTCCAGCATTTGGTCCACCTGCACAGTAAGGAAGCTCTTCCTCACATTCAGCTGGAATTTCAGGTGCACCAGTTTCTTCCCTTTGCCTCTTGTCCTTGCTTGGCATCACCAAGAAGAGCCTGGCTCCATCCTTTTGGCACCCTCCCTTCAGATACTGATACCTTTTAAAAATTAGTATTGCACAAGCACATTGCACAAAGCATCTGCCCAACCACATGTATCCTACCTGTAGGATATCCAGAATTGTTCTTCTTTAGGACTGGAGGCAGGTTACCAGAGATGAATAGAGCCAGGGATGCAATTGTTACAGTCCATATGGAATAGGATGATGAAAACTACACAACCTTTTTTAATGCCTTTATACAAATCTATTGATGATGTGTAAGATACCACCCATCCAGTTTCAAAGGAGATACTGCAAGATCTAATCAGTATTTAGAAGACAGTAATGACAAACTCTTGTGAAGAGAGATTGAAAAGATTGTGTTTATATCATGCACAAGAAGATGAATGAAAGGAATTTTATAAAAGTCTGTAAAATACTAGTTAATAACT